CTCATGGGTCTAAGTGTGTCGAGAAGCCTGTTGATGGATCAGATCTAGGGACTGGTTTGGCTAAACAAACAAACAGCAGGTCTTCTCTTCACAGTGACCAGCTCTGTGTGAGTGCCTCTGTGTGCACACACGTGTGTAAATTGTTCCTAACTTTCCTTTGCAAGTCTATCCTACCTGGTCAGGGGAATGCTTCTAGAGGGTTACAGTATCAGGCTCCTGTGCGGATGTACATCATCTTTCTCAACATCTGACAAGCTTGGTCCTTTTAAGTTCTCACCATTTTGTTTTACTGAAGTGGGAATGGGATCATGAAGGGAAATCCCAGGCTACAGTTGAAGTACATGTCCAAATACATCATGAAGAGTTACCAGGAGGCACCTATTTGAGTTCATCTCTGTGCACAATGCTATGCACTCAAGAAAATTGCCCTGCCAAGCTCTCCAACTTCCACATCCTGGCTTTGTAAGCTATTAATCAGGTTTTAGAAAGCTAAGAAAGATCCCTAATAAATCCTGTAAGAGGGCAAGATATATTCTATGTAATTGCCCTGGTTTCGACCAGGATGGAGTTAACTTTCATTGGAATACTTCATACCATGTGATGTCATGCCCAGGGATACAGGGGGGGTGGGCGCTGATTTTGATTTCGGGTCTGGTACAGGTGTGTGTTGCTGTGGGGGCAGTCACTGTGCTCAGTAAGCCACTGCTGCATTTCACCCTTTTCTTTTTGGACTCATTATTGTTACTGTTGTTCTCTTGTTATATTTAGTAAATGCTCTTTATTCAACCTAAGAATTCTCTTCTTTTTTTTCTGTCCCACCCTTATTTCACTGGGGAAGGGGAGGTGAAGGGCCGGCCATGTCTGGCTGCCTGCTGAGTTCAAACCTTCACAGTTTTTGGCGTCCAATGTGGGGCACTGAGGTTTGTGGGTTTTTTTTGTTTGAGATAACAAAATGGGTAAAATGTGGATTGCTTGGCTCCTTGAGATCTTATCACCCCATTTGCAATACGTGTTTCCCATGCTGTTGCTCACCCTCCATGAGAGTTGGGTTAAGATTTTGTTTCTGCTGTACTATGTGATGCTCATCTATGATAGCGTGCAGTCATCAGCCCTGGGGCTATTTACAGTTGCGTTTGAGAAATTTGGGGAGTTCAAATATCTTTGGAATGTTGACATAAACATGGTTGCCATGCTGTTAGGAGCTAGTGGTTCTGGTTTTGTTTATGGTTAAGCAACTATTTAAGAATATCACTTGGAAACTTACCACAAGATTGGGGAATTATGAGTAACTGGAGATGTGGAGTAGAATGGGCAAGTACCTAGAACAGTGGGCACCTCTGGTATATTGGAACTTCACTCCTGCACAGGTGCAGAATCCTGAAGAACTAGTGGAATATTTGGAAAAGGTATGTTGTCGCCCAGGTAATTCTAGAGAGGCACAGCTCACTGCAACATGCTGGGGCTTAGCCCACACCTACTAAGTGCTATTAAACACTGTTCAGCACCCTCAAGAGGAAGAGAAGGGCTCTGCACCTGGTGACCAAGTAACAGAAACTGCAGCCACTACAAGCCCAAGGACAGGCGTTGCAGCTGAACCAGAGGACCAACCCATGGCAGTGTTGGTTGCTCCCATACAGAAGAAGAAATACACAAGAAAATCTCCTTGCAGTGTACAGGGTGATGATGAACTCGGCCCATCACGAGAACAGGAGGAGGCAGAGCCAGTGATAGTCACCTAATCCTTATCCTTGAGTAAGCTGTGAGATATGAGAAAAGATTTCAGCTGCCAGCCCGCTGAGCAACTTGTTACCTGGCTGCTGGGATAGCGGGGCCAGTAGCATAGAACCAGAGGGCAGGGAGGCAAGGCAGATGGGATCCCTGTCTAGGGAAGGGGGCATTGACAAAGCCATTGGAAAGGAGACACAAAATCTCAGTCCCTAGAAGTGACTTCTGTCAAGTGTGAGAGAGAGGTATCCCTTCAAGGAGAACTTTACATGTCAACCAAGTAAGTGGACCACTATGGAAAGAGGCATTCCATACTCGAGGGAGTTAGCTGTGTGGGAGGTAGTTTACTATGACCCAGATAATACACAGCCACCCACAGATCCAGATGAAGTCTGATGCACCCGGCCCATGTGGAGCAATTTTGTACAGAGCTCACCCTCATCATATGCCAATGCATTAGCACTAATGGACTGGACAGACAAAGAGGGACCAACAGTGAATGAACTTGCTCACCGACAATGACAATATGAATAAAGTGTCTCTTCCCCCATCATCGTGGTTGTGAACAATGTTCTCCCCACCTGCATGGACCAGAATCTTGGCTATTAGGAACAATCATTTCTCTGCTTGAAAGAACTGGTACACACCACAGGGGAAGCTGAGGCATTGCCTGCATGACCATGGAGAAGACATGAAGAAATGGGATGGAAAACCTACCTACCTCCTAGAAAAGTGGGTATGTGAGCTGGAAGGAAGAACAAGTACAAAACATGGTCCTTTCAGCAGAAATGCTGCTCCAGTTTCCAGTAATCAAGTGCCCAAACAGAGCAGACTTTGCTCATGATCCTATGAGAAGAACTTCTGACTTGCATTCACAAGAAGTGAGTGATCAAGATGAGGCTGAAACCCGTGCACACCACACTAACCTGTGTGTTGTTAGCAGGTATTATGACCAATATTAGAGGGGCCCTGCCTCCAGCCAGGCGGAGGACAGGGACAACCGAGTTTACTGGACTGTGTGGATTCGATGGCCTGGCACATCTGACCCCCAGCAGTGGCTCTAGTGGACACTGGTGCTCAATGCACCCTGATGCCATCAAATTTTAAAGGAGCAGAACTCGTTTGTATTTCAGGAGTGACAGCGGGGTCTCAACAGCTGACTGTATTGGAGGCTGAGGTGAGCCTAAGTGGAAAAATGTGGGAAAAAAACCCCATTATGAGTGGTCCAGATGGTCCATGCACTCTTGGCATAGATTATCTCAGAAGAAGGTATTTTAAGTACCCAAAAGGGTATTGGTGGACTTTTGGTATAGCTGCTTTGGAAACAGAAGGAATTGAACAGCTGTCTGTGTTGCCTGATCTATCAGAGAATCCTTCTGTTGTGGGATTGCTGAGGGCTGAAGAACAACGGGTGCCAAGTGCCACTACAGCCGTGCACTGATGGCAATACCGCACCAATCGAGATGCTGTAATCCCTATCCATAAACTGATTTGTCAGCTAGAGAGCCAAGGAGTCATCAGCAAGACGCACTCCCCTTTTAACAGCCCCATATGGCCAGTGCGAAAGTCTAATGGAGAGTGGAGATTGACAGTGGACTATCATGGCCTGAATGAAGTCACGGACCGCTGAATGCTGCCGTGCCAGATGTGTTGAAACTGTAATATGAACAAGAGTTGAAGGTGGCCAAGTGGTACTCCACGATTGATATTGCCAATGTATTTTTCTCCATCCCTCTGGCAGCAGAATGCAGGCCACAGTTTGCTTTTACCTAAAGGGGTGTCAAATATACCTGTAATCGGCTGCCCCAGGGGTGGAAACACAGCCCCACCATTTGCCATGGACTGACTGCACTGGAACAGGGTGAAGACCCAGAACGTTTACAGTACATTGATGACATCATTATATGGGGTAATACTGCAGAAGTTTTTGACAAAGGGGAGAAAATAATCCAAATCCTTCTAAGAGCCAGTTTTGCCATAAAGTGTAGTAAAGTCAAGGGACCTGAAAAAGAGATCCAGTTTTTAGAAGTAAAATGGCAAGATGGGTGTTGTCAGATTCCAGTGGAGACCATTAATAACAGCTATGTCCCCACCAACTAACAAAAAGGAAACGCAAGCTTTCTTGGGTGTTGTGGGTTTCTGGAGACTGCACATTCCAAATTACACTCAGATTGTCAGCCCTATCAAGTGACTCTGAAAAAGAATTATTTTGTATGGGGCCTGGAGCAGTGACAGGCTTTTGAACAAATTAAGTAAGAAATGAACTCATGCAGTAGCCTTCAGGCCAGTTCAGACAGGACACGATGGTAAAAATGTGCTCTACACTGAAGCTGGGAAGAATAGCCCTACCTGGAGTCGGTGGCAAAGAGCACCAGGGGATACTTGGGGTTGACCCCTGGGGTTTTGGAGTTGGGGATACAGAGGATCAGAAGACAGCTACACTCCAACTGAAACCAAAATACTGGCAGCACATGAAGGGGTCCAACCTGCTTCAGAGGTGATGGGGACTGAAGCACAGCTCCTCCTGGCACCTCGACTGCCAGTGCTGGGCTTGATGTTCAAATGGAGAGTCCCCTCTACACACGATGCAACTGATGCCACGTGGAGTAAAGGGGTCACATTAATCACACAATGGACTCGAATAGGGAGCCCCAGGCATCTGGGAATATTAGAAGTGATCACAAATTAGCCAGAAGGCAAAGATTTTGGAATGGCACCAGAGGAAGAGGTAGCATGTGCTGAAAAGGCCCCACCATATAATAAACTACTGGATAACAAGAAGCGATATGCCCTGTTTACAGACATGTCCTGTCACACTGCGGGAGAACATCAAAGGTGGAAGGCAGCTGTATGGAGCCCCACGAGTTTCTGAAGCTGCTGAAGGAGAAGGTGAATTGAGTCAGTTCACAGAGGTGAGAGCTGTCCCGTTGGCCTTGGATATCACTGAGTGGGAAAAGTGGCCGGTGCTCTACCTCTGTACTGACTCATGGATGGTGGTAAATGTGCTGTGGGGGTAGTTACAGCAGTGGAAACAGAGCAACTGGCAGCACAGGGGCAAACCCATCTGGGCTGCTGGATTATGGCAAGATATTGCTGCTTGGGTAGAGAATCTCCTTGTGAAAGTACACCATGTACCCAAGAGCCAGGCCACCAAAAACATCAGAACAACCAACAGGTGGATCAGGCTGCCAAGATCAAGGTGTCTCAAGTAGATCTGGACTGGCAACATAAGGGTGAACAATTTATAGCTTGCTGGGCCCATGACTCCTCAGGCCATCAGGGAAGAGATGCAACATATAGATGGGCTTGTGACTGAGGGGTGGACTTAACCATGGATGTTATTGCACAGGTAATCCATGAATGTGAGACATGTGGTATGATCAAGCAAGCAAAACAGTTAAATCCCATTTGGTATGGAGGACGATGGTCAAAATACAAATATGGGGATGCCTGGCAGATTGATTATATCATGCTCCCACAAACTCAGCAAGGCAAATACTATGTGCTTACAATGGTGGAAGCAGCCACTGGTTGGTTGGAAACTTATGCTGTGTCCCATGCCCCTGCCTGGAACACCATTGTAGGCCTTGAGGAGAAAGTCTTATGGCAGCATGGCATGCCAGAAAGGATTGAGTCAGATAATGGGACACATTCCTGAAACCACCTCATAGACAGCTGAGCCAAAGAACATGGCATTGAGTGGATATATCACATTCCCTACCATGCACCAGCCTCTGGGATAATTGAGCAATACAATGGATTGCTGAAAACTACACTGAGAGCAATGGGTGGTGGAACTTTCAAACACTAGGACATGCATTTAGCAAAAGCCACCTGGTTAGTCAATACCAGAGGATCTGCCAAGCAAGCTGGCCCTGCTCAATCAAACATCTGACACAACATGCATGGGGATAAAACCCCTGTAGTGCACATTAGGAATATGTTGGGGAAGGCCATCTGGGTTACTCTTTTATTGGGTAAAGGTAAACCCATGCATGGGATTATGTTTCCACAAGGACATAGGTGCACTTGGTAGGTAATGCAGAAGGATGGAGAAGTCCAATGTGTGCATCAGGGAGATTTGATTTTAGGTGAGAATAGCCAATGAACCAGACTGTCAGATAACCCTGTTATTGCAATTGGTGCCTTGCAACATTCCCGTGCCACATCCAGAGCCTCCTGCTCCACCAACTGAGCCAACTTCGCCTCATTCCTCCAGCCTTATAGACTGTCATGACAGATGGAACCTGAAGTTATGGACTAAATGAACTCAGCAGATGTTGTGGAAGGATGGCCCATAGACTAAGGGAATCGTATCTGTGAGACCTGGAAAAAAAAGGGGGTGGTGATTCCTTAAGATGTATTTGGAAACCTGAGCATAACGTCAATGGTATGGAACAAGGAGTGGAGACTGTCCTGGTTTCAACCAGGATGGAGTTAACTTTCATTGGAATATTTCATACCATGTGATGTCATGCCCAGGGATATAGGGGGGGCAGGCACCGATTTTGGGTCGGTTCCGGGTGTGTGTTGCTGTGGGGGCGGTCGCCGCACTCTGTAAGCCACTGCTGCATTTCACCCATTTCTTTTTGGACTCACTATTGTTACTATTGTTCTCTTGTTATATTTAGTAAATTCTTTCTTTTTATTCGACCTACGAATTCTTTTTTCACCAGGGAGGGGGAGGTGAACAGCCGGCCATGTGGTGTCTGGCTGCCAGCTGAGTTCAAACCTCAACAGTAATTCATTGCTATCTTGTGTTATTCTGTCATAAGATGACAAATAAGCATTTCTGGTTACAGACTGTGTTGCAATCAAAAGTTTTATGCCAAATTTATCTTAAAAATTTCAGCCAAATTAGTAAACAGTGAATATCTGAGGGAGTAAGGTTTGCATGCAGGCATGGGCACTTGGTCTGTGTGTAACAAAACAGGAAATCTCAGCACCCCGTTCCAATTAAGCAAAGCCTGATCTCTCATGGAACATAAATTTTCTGATTTTCTCCCAGAACAACCTTATGCTGACGTTTTAAATAGTGGTAAAACATTGTTTTTAATTTCACACCTCACAACACAGTCAAATGCTTCATAACAACATAAACTTTAGGCAGAGCTTTGCAACTGAATTCAAACAATGATTTCCCCCTACAATATGTACTCAAGGTTTGCAGGAAGAATACAGAAACTTGTTGGCTAAGGCCACAGAAATGAGTTCTCTTGTGTTTTGGCTGCTGCTGCCAACCCTAGTCAAGAACATGTTAACAGTGGATGCACTGATCCAAATCCCATTATTCCCACCACCCATCAAGTGAAGAACCGTTTATTCTATTTCTGCTCTCCTTTTGGTTGTATCGTAGGATCGAACAACTTGTGACTGGGAAACAACACCGTGTTCTTCTTGAGAAAATGCATATCCATCTGAAAAAGCAAAGAAAGAAAAAAATAATAAATCACTGGAGTCCAGCTCAAGGTCACAGCCTGATTTTGGGAACAGTTCTAGGCATCACTAAAGTTACATGACTGAGACTGCAACAATCTTAATTTCTGTGCTGTGCTTCTGGCATTTACAGCTGTGTACTACATTGTCCACGTGGCACAGAAAGGATGTCTGCTGCCAGCTCAGTCTTACTGCTCCGCTCCCCAGGCCAGGTTAGTGTACACAGTCAACATTTCCCTTCGAGTTAACCTGACTTTAATAAGCTACAGATTGATTGGGACACCATGTGTACTCCCACAGTGGCAGAGCTTCTTAAAGACTTAACAAACAGGTAGAGATTTGCATTTTGGCTCGACTCCCCTATCGTCTGCTTGGTATCAGCAGTTTCCCTGGAGGAACATGAAAATGTCTAGACCACAACTAGATCTGAGTCACATCTTCCTCTTAACTCCATTCAGGAATTTTTTTTACAAGTTTCTAGGTGGCATCTGACAAATCACACCAGGAAACTCTATTCTCTTGGCCAGCCACCCATATCTTGACTAGAACAAACTTACACATATTCTGGAGATCTCTATTTTGCACAAATTAATCCTGCTAGCTAGCACAATCCTTTGGTCTCCCTAGCAGTTACTCAAATGAAAATAACCATGTGTCTGATTTCTTTTAAAGTATTGTGGACAAGGCAAGTCACATTTCTGACATAACTTGCAAACCACCATGTTACTGTTAAAACAGTCACAAAGGCCAACATGGTGAATACCAAGCAATATTTAAAGCAGACATGACCCTACAGAAAATTCTGAATGTAAAACTATACCAAAGGACAACAGACTTTGTGACACCAAGGAAAGGGGACTTTCAGGTGTAAATGGGTAAACCAGAAAGGAGAAGGGCAGATGAGCATAGTTATGAAAATAGAGAAATAGGAAAGCCACAGGCTATACAGAACCAGATAGTGCTTTGTAGTGGGAAAGCAGGGAAGAATTGGGAGATGTGAATGCTGCCTAGGAGAATCCAAGATTATACCATGGCTAACTCTCCATGAGCAACTCTCCATCTCCCCCAAGCTGCTCTGGAAGCAGGAGCTTGTGAATTCTGAAATCCTCCTCCAGATTCACCCCAGGCTGGAAGATCAGATAAGGACAGATGTCCCAATTACTGCCCAAGTCTTCCAGGAGTCCTCCCTTAAGGGGGTCAAGGTATACTCCCCCCTGCAAGATCAGGTACTGAAGTGAGATGAGGCTGGAGCACAACACAAAGGGACCCTGTAACAGAAAGGTACATGGGACTGACTACCCTCTTATGGCAGGGGTCATGTGGGGCCCCTAAGCAGCTTGGTGCTGTAGACTGAACTTGTTCCCCATTGGCCTGAATGCAGCCTGCTTTGAAGCAGGTGACTGATGGTGGTAGGCAGGAGAAGCCCAGGTCAGAAGTGAACCGAAGCCCGAGTGACACTTGCTAAACTTTCATCTTGACAACCAAGCTGGGAGCATGTGAGCCAAACACAGATTCTCAAGCACTCCTAGATCTTTTCCTCTGGCTGATGCCTGCAGAGGGAGGGTGGTCAGCAACTCCTATACAGTTGTAAGCTGCTGGGAATAGAGTCCCACAGCACTAGAGATGACCACTGGTGTAATTAGTTCTAAGGGGGAAGGTCTTCTCTCTCAAAGAATGCAGTTAAGTGTCACCTCTGAAGCCACAGGGACTTTGCTGTAGATTTGAGCTCTTGAGGCAGAACACACACTCCCTTAGCAGGAGAGCACACTATCTGCAGGTGAGCTGACCTAAATCACAAGCATGTAAGGAAATATTTGCCAGTAAGTAGAGGGGATTCAAACAGAAATCCATCATCCAGAACCAACTCCAGTCACAAGTCCCTCTCGGAGTGACTGCAGGACAGTATGAACTCTGATCAGATTACATGACTGATCGTCCCAGCATCCCATTTTATTTTCCCTGAGCAATTCCATGCCAATATACATACAGCTACAGAGGTACAGGTTGTTTTTTCCTGCCTCTAGCAGAAGGTTCACAGAATACATTCACAAAATGCAAACAGTCTTTTGGAAAAAAGTATGTGCATGCTGGATAACTGCAAAAGCAATATGATTTACAAAATAGACTTTCATTTTAAAAAGGGTAGATTCACAAACAAATACCGCCAGTGGGTTTGTTTCCACGCTAAGTGCCAGCATACTGTTAGCTTTCTGGACTAAATTCTCAGTGGAAAGTCATCTTGGTCAAAGAACACAAACTTAAGCCCTAGAAGACTGAAGCCTGTGCCCCATAAGCTGGTCAGCATCAAGGCGGCTTTGCTATATTTACTTATCCAGTAAGATCACTCATTGCAGTAGATTGATTCTTCAACTGCTGTAACTACTGCAAATCGAGCACTGACCATGCAAGTGTGTGGAGCCCAATAACCCCAGGTATGTTCCCATGACCTGCTTATTTCCAGTGCTAGCACAGACCTATAAACAGCCAGGCAGCCCAAGCACTCTGCAAAGCCAATGCAAAATGCAATCAAAGAAAATATATTCACCATTCTCACACCAGTAGAAAACACCTTAACACAGCAAAAAATATCAGGCTAAGATGATCAAATGGTTAAGAATACCAGGGGGTATCCTTACATCCTCGTGTTCTTGATCCATCCTGAAATACCAGCAATGAGGGTTTTGTGTGCTTATCATTGGAAAGGCAGTGACCCTGTATCTGCAAACTGCCCTACTTAGTTGAAGTTCAGCATTTGGCAGTTTATTTAATAAGTTTCCTGTTGATCTCTATACAGGAAGATGAGTTCATATTACATTTTTTTTTAATTCACATTACAATTAAAATTGAGCTTCAAACTGTTCAGGCAGTTGACTGTGCCTTGTAGAGTCAAAACACTGTGCATGCTCAAGTCCCATCTGCACTCCCCAAGCAGCTCTATTTTTCCGCTATTTTCAGACTCCATCCAAAAACAATGAAAGTTTCCATCTGTCAATTACTAGGGAACTTTTTGGAAGTTTGAACTTTTCCCCCAACTCCAGTTTTAAAACCACACCTATGAGCCTGCCTTGGGAACAAGGCCCTCATTGTTCAGCTGTCCTGCAGCAGCCCAAGGAAGGAGCACATTTCCTTGGGGCTTTCTGGGCACAACCCGCTCACGGCTGTCGCAGTAGGAAGGACCTTTGTACTCAGAGACTTTCTATTAATGGAGGAAAGGTACACTTTTGAATATCTGTCAGTGGGGCTCATTTGTTAAGAGGAGATTCACGTTCTCATCAAATCTAAAGTTTCACTCGTACCAGATATTATCAGGCAACCTACTGAATTTTAAAAGCATCCTGTTGGGTTTTTTTAAAGCTTTGATATTCTATTAGTAGATCAGAATCTAAGCTCCCATTAGGTTTCCAATTTAACACACACTTTTTCTGTTCATTGAAATGACTATTCTGGTTGTGCAGTGCTGGATTATAGAAACTGTGACCATGCATGAGTCTTGAACACAGACAGTTAACACTATGCAAACTCGACAGCCCACTCACATGCAACAACTTCCAAGACCAGGATCAGAAAGGGTCCAGAGCACTTTTTCAGTCCCAGAAAATCTGCTCATGGAAGGACTGCATACAGTTTTAGTCACTTCGGGGATTTATTTAAGAGGCCTCCTACTGCTTGCACTCTCCTCTGATACACCCGAAGTCTGTCCCAGGGTTTGTTTAGCCCAGCTTACAAGAGGGTAGCTCTCACTGGAAGCCTGTCAGAACCCCTGCCTTCTGCAGCATTTCACTATTCTCATATATGCAGTGGTATTATGGTTTAGTATAGTCTTAAGCATAAAATGCATTTTACCATCATGTTGTTTGCCTTTTGAGAAAAATGGCCAGATTCAAATCCAATTCAAAATTAAGTTTTAGGATTTGGGGGGATGGGAGAAGCTCTTTTTTTTTTTTTTTAATTTTTAAATTTCTTTTCAGAAATGTTGCTTCTTAGATACCAAAAAATCTCTCTGACATAACAAAAATCAATGTTAGGCTATTACTGGGCCAGCCAAATTCTCTCTCAGGCCAAATGTCTGGTTCTGCACGGGTTTTAAGGAGATTTGCTATGATGTCGTAGTTCATATTTACCAATTAAACAGTAAATGCCAACTCAGCTTTGACTTCTCTGGTAACCCTCTTCTACTTATCCTGGGAAAGTGAGAGCTGCTTTAAATCTTGAACATTTTGACTAATGCTTACAGAAATCATTAATTTCTCTGCTGATAAACTATGCCTGGGTTTTCTAAAGGACCCAAGAGGAATTCCTGACAAATGGTCCCATCTTTTTTTGTCCCAGATACTAACTTACCAGTATTTACATGCAGAAAAGAGAGCCAGCTGCCACAGCATCAATTCTAGACTCATTATTCTTATTTTCTTTTTCTTAAGTTGATTTTTAAAAGACTAACTCCACTTGACCATCCACAAATATGTAGCTTGGAAAAAATACAGAATGTATATTATATTTCGAACACATGCAAGATTAAGAGGAAATGAGAGTTTAAAAAGCATCTCAAGTAGCTGCTCTGTTGTTTTTCAAATCAAAATGCACCAGCAGAAAAGTGAGAGGAAGAAGGTGTCTGCTAGTGGAGAATAAGTGGTGGGATTAGAGCCCTCAGCATGAACATTATTATTATTTATTATTCGCCAGCCCCCATACTGTGAAACGAACCTCAGATGACAGGTGCTTTTTCTTCATTGATTAATAGGGTGCAAACCACACACTCTGCATTCAGATTTACTCTATGCAATCCCCATATTTTGTCAAAGGAAGAGGCGTTTTCTCTGCTAGAGGAAACTGGGGCCAAGTGCAGCAATCCTCATTCAGGCACAGCTCTTCACATTTCAGAAGTTCTGCCAAAGCAGTTCTCAAGAGCGGGACTCATTTAAGAGACATGCTGAGACAACAACAACTAAACACTGACAGAATGTATTCTGAATTACAGGAGGGAAACTGCACTAGAAGGATAGTATGGGTAGTATCTTCCCTTAAAGATGGACAGGTCTGAGGGTACTTGAGCAAGTGGGGAGCATCACCCTTCCCATACTGCTGGGAGGCTCTGGGGGCAGAGGTGATACAGGGCAGTCATGCAGTAAGAAAGGAGAGGTCAAGAACCATCTTATTTATGTACAGAGCTTGTCTAAAGGACATGCTACTTTCACAAAGTCACAGCAAAAAAAAAAAAAAAAAAAAGACATGAACTTGGATGGAGACTTGGAGAAAGCCCACCTGGAGAAAACCTCACTGCCAGCAAACCCTCCGAGAGGGAGAACTTTTGGGAGTCATTATTGTTCCTTCCCTTGTGTGAACCCAACAGCACACATCTTTGGACTCTTCCCTTTAGTATCTGAGAAGAGCCTGGCGGCTCTTCCAGATCACTTAGAAAGCAGATGGCCACGGGCAGTTCCCAATTTCACCAGGCACCTTCACCAGGAGCTACACCAAGCCCAGAGGCCAGCACCATCACCACTGCCTACAAGATTCCACGGAGATGGTTCTATGTTAGCACATGGGCTTGACAGCCATATAAAGCTCTTGCACTAAAGTCTCATGACAGTGCCATCCAACAGGAACTTCACCTTTTTTTTTTTGGTTTGTTTTTTTTAAAGTTTTCATAAAGCTTCCCAGAAGTTACACTGGTAGGAACCACATGATCTTTTGACTATACAGTTAATAGACCGATTTATTTCATGCTTCTGACAGCTCTACATGATTCAGGAACACAAAGCCAGAACAAGAATCACAGAATCATCTAGGCTGGAAAAGACCTTGGAGATCACCTAGTCCAAGAAAAACAGCCATGAAGGTCTTGCACACTTTAAGGGCATACTCTTCCAGATAGACAGGGGCGGCTCTCCCAGGCCACTACTACTCTGGGCCAGTTTCTTTATGGGGAGGAGGCGTTTAAGAGATTAATTCTGGCTGGCACTCCTGTATGGCACTGACGTGGTACTGGCTGTGTGGCTCTGTCCCCCGCTTCGGGGGATGGATCTGTCAGAGTGTGGTACTGTATGGGAGCACCCCAGCCATGCATCCTGCTTGAAGGTCTTGTGCTGTGCACATGCTTTTGGGGAGGGGCTGGCTCACCAACAGAGAGCTGAGGAAACAGGTTGAGCTTCCGCCTTTCGATACAGGGCTCTGCAGACTTACCTCAGTCATGTTTTTTTCTCCCACCACAGACCACTAGTAGTACTCTGAAACACCCCATGAGATTTTTCTCCTTTCCATGTGATTGGAAACAAAGCTATTCAAGCATTGTTTCCTATCAAAAAATTTGGAAACACTTGTCAAAAATACAGTGACTCTCAAACCACCTTTACAATCTTTACATCTTTACAATCTGTGCTAGGAAATTTAATCCCATTTTCCTTCCTTGCTGGGACCAAGGTAATTGATTTGCTTAAGACTTTTTCAGCTCTAACTAAACAAACCCTTTTCCTGCTTTATATGCAAGTATCAGATTCTGAGTTGAAGTCACATATGCAATTTTTGGAAGAAGTGGCCTCCACAGCCTGGGAACTTGGAGCCTGGTGGAAACACATGAACAGTTCAAGACTTTAAACTGAACGCTCGTAGTGTGATTTAAGATATTGGCCCAGCATGTCAAGGCTACTGCCCTATTCATCAGCCTTTTGCTTTGAAGATTTCTAGCATTTAGTAAACAATTGTACAATTTAGAGTTGTGAAAACAGCACATATGTTCCCTGGATTTCACATGGCCTAGCAGCTATGCAACACTGGAAAATAACATTTGACAAGAGATGACAGAAGTTTTAGAGAGTCATAAAAAGTGTCTTTCCATCCTAACAGCTTCACAATCAAAATTTATGTTCATGTGAAAACCGACAGCTGATTATAACCTGTTCTGACATTTAGCACTTAATAATTTGCATTTATAGGGAAGCTGGTTATCTAAGTTAGTGTTTATTTTTATATCTTATTTTCCTTTCCCAGTAGCTATTCACCTGCTAACAATCTGATGATGTGTTCTACCAGACTAAAAGCATATGAGAGTCTGCTTAGTCACCACTGGCGCATCTCTCTCCTGCACCGTGTTAAGTCTCTACAGCAGACTACTTCGACAGCAATTTATTTATGCATTTTACAGATTTCTTCTGCCAATCATCATCTCTGGAACCTCCTCAAAGAGTGCATTTGCATGCCCAAAGCTGTGCTGCCGTCAGCATCCCTGGCTCCTTGACGCAAAGTATTAAATCCTGGCAGGAGCATGTGGTCCCCAGGGCTGCTCTGTGGACTGGCCTCTTTTCCCAGGACCAATGGGATTGATCACTAAAGACCCTACATCCCTCAACAGTGGTGTCTTTACAATGGCTCTACGAAAGACAAAGACTAGCAGATCTATCACTGTTCCACTCCTCCTAGTCAAATTCCCTGTGGAAAACAGGAATAGGTCAGGCATTTGGATTCTCAAATCCCAGCCTTGCCTCCATGGCCTGAACCACAATAGTTCTGCTACAGAAGACACCACAGCCAGCAAAGAGATGTGACTTCCCTGGGATTCTTAAACAGAGGCGTCACTTCTCACTGCAATGGCAATACGAAACCAAATCCTGAGTGCCTGCGCCCTGCCCTATGCACAGCAGTACTGCATGCTTGGGGGCTATTTTCTTTAGTAAGATGAGCATATTATGACTACCAGTTTAATCACAAGAGAGACTAGAAGGGGTTTACCACTAGAAGGGGTTGACTGGACTCTGTGATCCCTTGAGACAGCAGTCCAGTGCATCTGGCCTACAGAAATGTTTTTATTTTTAATGATGTGGAAGCCTTTCTAATGCTGACATAAAAAATGTCAGGTCCAGCAGATCAAGGCCTGTCATATGTTCCTCTAGGAAGCTGAATAAACAGATGGCCTCTACACCAACAAGAAATGCAATTTATTCCAAAGAGCAGCAGCAGCAAGATGTGATATTGCATCATTTCTCCCAGCAGAGGACAAAGAGGGAGAGGAGAGAGGCAGCTCTGCACACCATGACTTACCTCATCCAAAACACACAGAACCTTTAAGTGGCATCCCTGAAATATCACTAATATGACTATTCATAAAGAAACCATTTCTATATAAGCTAGGCTCTATCATGACATTTATTTTATCCTGCAGAGGTTTTGATTTTGCAGTATTCTTGAGACTATCAGAATTTTACATTTAGAGAACAAGCATATTGGGATTTTGTCATTTAGGCCTGTTGATTGATCCTAGGGAGTTATCCATGTTTGAGCTCCACTTGCCTAGGGCCAAATATACTAATTCCACTTCCAAATGTATGTGTCTTGCTTGGCAACTCAGCCTCTGCACTGGATTATCTCTACCTACAATTTAATTAAAAAAAATAATCACCCTTCGCTTCATTCATCTGGGACTGACTAGTGTGAAAACACACACACATGCATGATCCACTACTTACGTGATACACTTTGCTGGACAGAATGAGCACGGAAGAGGCTCGGAGGAGTTTTCCTGCCAAGCCTTTTTAACAAATGATCACGTTCGTTGACGCTGAAGGAAAGAAAAGAAATACACCAATGAGTAATCAGATAATTTCAAGGTAAGAGTCAACTGTATTTAAAGTACTTGGCAGTTTTGACTCTGTCAGTATTTAAGATGGTTGTAACATGAAAAAGAATCTTCTCTTTCTTTAAACTGCACTATTATCAAGACAACCCTCTAATAATGAAAACTCCTCCTTCCTAAGGCCACTTTGTATAAGTTTACATTTAGTTAATCCATCCCTAATAGTACAACCATTGTGATTTCTGAATGTTTGATGCCTATAAATTATTACAAACCATATCAGAAGTCTGACAGCAAGTGATACGGAACATTAAAAAGGCGATCTCTCTTTAGTATTATGTACACGAATCACGGCACGCACAAACCACCCTAGAGAGAAGGAGCAAAGCATTGTGGCTTAGCACATGGTAAAAGGCTTCTATCACACCTGCAAAACGGCCTGAAGCAACCAAAAGCAGGACCCATAGTTAATTCTGTCTTCTAAACACTCATTTTCACCTCCCATACTGGAAAGAAAACTTCCTATCCAGTTTTTGATTTAAAACCCCCTTTGGTTTACATAGTTCCTGTTAAAGCCCTGAAAAATTATTACTGAGTTTACAGAAAGTGAAAACACAAACTTAAGGTGAAAACACAATATGCTTACAACAGGTTTAACATAGGTACACAAATCAGAGACACTGTACACTCTTTTTTATTAAAAACAGAACTAATTTCATCAAGAAATTTATGCCCCAAATTAACAAATGATGGCTAAGATCCTGACCTTTCAAGGCACTTAATTACGTATACAAGTCCCACCAAGTTCAGTGGGGCTTTACAATAATGAAGGTGTCCAAATCTCATTGCACTGGAGTCTCAAATACTTGCTATATATCAGATTATTTTGAAAAAGATATTACAGTCTATTTTAGATCAAAGTTCCTCTGCAACTGTTTTTTTTAAAATCATCTCACCCTTGTTCCTAACACTGAGATGGACCCAGTGCCCAGAAGGGATCTGTTTGCTAGTGCAGCTCCTGGAGTGTCTTTATCCCATTTGCACATTTACACTGTTTCCATTTTCACAGTCTCCTTGTTCTTTCACATTTTTATTCAGAAGCAGTAATTCCACTGGTTATGCTGCAAACATGGATATACATCTGAATGCCAACTCTGATATCTTTATTGTATTAGATTACAAATTCACATACATTTGGTATATGGAATGGAAATCCCAGCAAGCACAGCTGCTGCTGTCAACAAGCTTACAACAGCTTTAAACAAACAACTCCCTTTCATTGAAGTAGTTTGCTAACTTCAAACAAGAAAGTAACCAAAGAACCTCTGAGATGCCTATAACATGTAATCCAGCCATGCAGGCTTATATTCCACTTAATAGTCCATTAGGGTAATATCCAGGCTCAGTCTTCTGTTCAGTGCATAATGAGATGTCCACGAAAGAAAGGGAGGAATCCTTCTCTTTTTTCCTGGGGTCTCTCTCTACACTCAAACATCTGAACTAGAAATTTGTACAGCCTGTGGATCCCTCCTTAAAATCTTTACAAACTGTCAGCATTTTCAGATGCTTTGTTTCTTCCCCTCTTTCCCTTGACACCACAGAACACACCTGCAACAGATATGCTGGTTTTCCCCGCCTGCAGTCAGTAGTAGTCCTTCAATATAAAACAGAAGTAGATAACAGATTTGGAAGCAAAACTACAAACACCAGCTGAGAGTGTCAAACAATCTTTACGAGCCCTTGGATCATGAGATATGCATGTGATCAAAGAAGAAAGTATCACAGGTTTCCACTAAACTCAGGGTTATAGCACAGAAGTTTCTAAAAATCTTGGAAGATCCAACTGAAAAAAATGAAGATCAAAGACCAACCAAAACTGTAAGAAAATCATGTATATACACAAAGAAATCTCCAACTGCTCAAAGTAGGTGGCATAACAGAATGTATGTACTACAGAGAAATCACCAGGTAAGGGGATGGCAGGCATGAAGCAAGACATGAGATTTCTCTAACAGGCTTACAAAGTTGACAGCCTTCAGAATCGATCATTACCGGTGCATGTGCAAACTAGTTATCTGTACTGTGCAACCTCTTACTGCTTGCAGATGACTGCTGGGTAGCTTGTTAAGTCCACTGACTGGTAAGTATAGCAAAACACTGTCTGGATCTGCTGCTGTCTTGTGAATGACAGAAGTTAAATACTTGTTTATCTTCTGCAGGTAAAGAACATACAGGTGGAGTCTTTCCCATCTCAGCAGGAGAACAGGAGGGTGGTTTTGGATAGATGGCTTAAAAAAGGAATCTTAAACTGATCAATAATATTTGTTCTGAGGGACAAATAAGCAATGACTACCACAGAATTCTTACCCTGAGACTGGCATTAACCACATCAGCAAAAGGCATGAGGAACAAATTCTTCATCTGTCTGTCTACCACACGTTGTGGAGGTAAGCGTGCTGTCATGGGACTTCTGAACAGGAGTGACACATTACAGCTGTAAGGAAGCCAAAGCTAGACTGCCTTTGATACTGCTAACTATAATCAACAATTTCAAAATGGAAGTCACATCTGATTTTCCCAATTGGGAAAATACATTGGATCATATATACATAGAGAAAGAAAAACTCATGGAATAATTAGAGCATTCATGGTTTAAGTACAAGAGATGATTAAACAGACTGCAAGTCAAGACCACTTAAGTGCCCTAAAATGAACTCTTAATACACAGAGTAAATGCAACACATCTCTTCTGAAATGGATGAGTATTTATTAACACATACTAGATCTCCAAAAATAAGCCCCAAAAGGAAAGAAAAATGAAATGGGTTTCTTAACCAGACTGAAGTGTTTTTACTTGTACCGACCAAGTCCCTGCTTTCAGAAAAGGTTTTTGTCCGCTATCAACAGATAACAAAATGAAGACTTCTCAGTCTCCCTCACACTTTGATGCAAAACTAATGACGACATCAGACTTGCAGGTACCAGGTTAGGCCTTGCTCACAGAAATATTGCTTGTAATTCAATCCCAAATATTAGCAATGGTCTCAAGTGTTAATTCTGCTTTCCAGTGACTCAAAGCCAGTGCCTAAGTCCTCCCACAGTCTGAGGATGGCATCTTAAGATCTTATATTGGATATAGCTGTGTTCATACTCAGGACACCAAAAATGGTGTCAGAATGGAAGAAATCAAATCCAGACATCCTTATGAGAGTCAGTGACCTGGAAAGCGACAGTGAAATATGCTTGAGCTGGTTAGTGACCTCAGAAGGGGTAAGGGAGAGACATCATCTATCTGTAATCATATGAAGGACAAAATACTTTGAACTAAACAAAACAGATTAGAACAAAAAGTCCTAGTTATGAGGGTTACTATGAAAAAATTATTAAAAAATGTCATTACTCAAGTAATCTAAAATCAGATCCAGTTGCTATCAATAATGAAGATTACCTTGGGCCAGGAATACCTTTGCAATGGTTTCCTAAGAGGGTCAAGATGATTTCTGCCTGTGTGGAAGTCTGTGCTAACAACATGACACAAATTCATTAAGTGAATGACAAACCAAAAGGTAAACTAAAGGCAACATGTTATTTCATAACAGTATTTTCCGTTCCATAAACAAAACAACTCTTCCATTTTTGTATCTGAATTGCTCTAAGGTGTCAACAGAGACCTTAATTTTATTTTTATGTGTTCTCATCCCTCACAAAAGCAAACAGTCCTTAAAATTTAGGCAACAAACATCTGGCTTTACACATTCAAATGAGGTGCATCAAAACAAACAGAATAATTCAAAGCTGACCACAAGATCCCACTAGCTCATTTGCTCAAGTAATTAAAAAAAGATGAGCTGCACCACCAATTAACCTACTGAGCACTAATTAGCATTAATAAGGATTTGCAGTACTTGGTATAGTTTGACCCAGAATGTCCTCCTGAGTCCACTAATTGGCTGGTGGCAAAAGCAGGGCTCACATAGAAGGGAAGGTTAAAGTGGATGCAGGTGTCTCTTAAAATTGGATCCTCCCTGAGAAAACACACACATAGCCTAGTTTAAAAAAATATAATTCAGGGACCCTCTTCTCTTACAAGAATTGAACCCTTAAGAAATAAGTTTCTGTTCTGTTATGATTTACTAGCAGAGACAGAGAGCACAGACAGCTCAAATGGGCAAAGACACTTAGCTGCCATTGGTTTTAACTTGCTGCCCTTCTGGATTATTCAGAATTCAGTCAGATACACACATATAAATTATTTGGTTTTGTTTCTCATTTTCCACTTCCTAGAAGAACAAACTCAGCTACTAGGGAAGCCTTACCGGGGCTGCTAAATATGACACAAATAAAACACAGAAGCACATATCCCAGCTCCTATCCCTCTCCCTTAAAAACACATGAAGAACCTACGGCAGAGGCATGGCTCTTCACTGCAAGATACCCAGCACCCATGAGTAAGCCCGGAAGGCAAAAAAGATATGTCCATGGTGGGTAAGCCCAGGGGACAAGAAAGCATGCAGCTGTTTTTCATTTCAATAGCTATGAACACCCTCGCTCTACTGCCTGCAGGTTCAGCGTCACTATTTCTTCTATCCTACAGTGCTGCCACAGCATTTAGCAACAGGTAAATCATTGTACAGATTGCTTTAAGACAGAAAACCCTCCCAAAGCTGAGGCTGAAATTCTGCCCATAACTCCACAGCCTCCCTCCTACCCATATGCATTTTCCAATAGCACAGCAGACAAACCCTTGTTCAGCCTCTTTCTGCTGTCACATACTCTGTTAAACACATTGCCTGAGAAGCCCTGGCTGGCCTGCCTTCCCCTCTCCTGTTGGATGAAACACCTTGCAACGTATTATCCTCACACTGCAACAGCAAGGAGGGAGGCAGTTTTTACAAAATACCTGATGTGGCTAAACACAAGGAAGTTTCTGTCCCTGTCAACCTTAGCTGTGGATTAGATTTTAAGGGGAGGGTACTTTTCTCTTT